TTAAGTTAAAGAATGCACGTGAAGTTTACTGGTATTCACATCAGAGGTTAACAAAACCTTACATGCGCCATAAGATACTACATACAGTGTACATGTACATAAAAGCCAATAACAAATCTTGCAGGAAGTTAATGATAACAGATAAGCTTACACCACATTTTAAACGACCACTTACGGCTTATAATGATACAGAATATAAACACATCAACTGAAAGTCGATTCTATTCCACAATGTATAACTTCTGCTTGATAGAGAAAGAAATATTCCCTATACAAGAATTCCCTCTGGACTGTATTTATTCTGGATTATATAGGCTCCACTCCTTAAGATTAAGCTGTCTCATGCTCTACCGACTGAGGATTACAAGGATTTTGAAGGATTCACTTCGTACAAAATTTCAATATGGCTTCTCATACAAAATAATAACATTCAACGTGTCCCAAAAACACTTTCGGTCTCATAACAATTACGTCATCGCGTACAATTCCCGACCAGTAGCAAAATTAAATGTTTGCATTCCAGGCATCTTTGGTCATCTTTTAAAACAGTGTTTAAGAAGCTTATCGTTCAATACAACAATTACTCACCTGTGTTGCTGTTGTTGACTCTGACCCCCGTTTACAGCAGCTGAGTGACCACTTCACGGAGACGAAGCGAAAGTAAACTGGATTTTGCCCGGCCAAAGTATAGTTCAGTTAGTGTATTAAGATGGGTTTCTCATCGATGCAAGCTGACATCTCGTACCATTTCAAAAGGACACCAAAATAAGCGGGAGAACTAAGAGAACCTGGTACCTAATGGGAAAACCCGCTGATTGGTACTTGTTAAAGGCCGGGTACTCAGGAGATACTCGAGTTGCAGTTTGATTCGTCAACACTTTACATATCCAAGGGAAGGCCCTGTTCTTTCCTGCACACATACACAACGCAATGAATCCAGTAATAATAATATTTTCGTTGTCGTTCCATCTGAGCGATCGGAAAGTTCACAAGGAGTCAATAAGCAGACAGGCCATGGTGGCGAGAGTTCTTAGGTTTGTGTGTACCCACCCCAGTACTTCAAGCGTGATATCGCACTTGGACTTTTAGACGCTTTAAATGCTTTAACAAACAAGGCATCTTTACCATGGCTTTACGGCTTTGTTACTTTACGCAACTTTGCGTGTCTTCATAATAATGCTGTACTTAACGTGGTGACAGAAAATTTATCTAAATAAACAATTTTTTGCCAGTGCGGATAAGCCCATATTGCGGGTAAAGAAAATCGATAGCGAGACATCCTTACTCTATCATTATATGTGCTGTGTTTAGTTTCTTCAGAACAATAAAAACGAGGCGTTTTCGCTTGATATGGGGCGAAACTGAAGAACGAAATCATTTTTGATCCAACACTAGTTGTTTTGTGACTGAAAGCAAGCAGTGGTGTTTTCCTGGAGTCTCAAAGGACTGAGATATTTATTTTTATTTAAAGCGTTAATTCAACCTTTTTTTTTTTTTTCACCTTTTTGACATTTCTGCTTAATATGGACAGGAATATTACTTCTAATTAAAGCGCTTGCTGTTTACTGACATATAACATAACTTGCACAGTAAACGTAATGTGTTACTGATTGACAAATAGGAAAGACAAGGGGCAGCAACTTTCCTACTCAAAGTGAAATATTTCGTCCTGGTATGAATGAGTTGTTTCAGACCGCAATTACTCTATTCCAGTGATCTCGATATTTTATAACCGGGTATCAGATATGACTTCACGGACACCGCCTCCTTTCGAGTGGTTACGGGATCCAAATTTCGCGGGCAGGGACACCTGAGAACGCTTAGATTCCCACGAAGAACGCGACGTGCGGGACTTTTTCCGCCGAGCAAGTGCTTTCTTTTTCCTGGCCACTTTTCTGTCGATGTCATTTACTGCTGCTATGGTGACTGGAAATACGAATGGCTCTTCAGACTCCATACCAAAGTCAATGCTGACACAAAAGCTCTCGGTGTCTCCATCTAAAACAGTATAACCTTTCTCATCATACGGCAGTGTAAAATTCTCCAGCAGGTCTGTTTCTGCATCGGAGCGCGGAGTCTGGAGCGAGCTCGGCATCTCAGTGGCCGTAGAGCACTGGTCGAGAAACGTTCCCGGATGTTCGATAGAGTATCTTCTGCACCAAGCTCTTTCCTGCTCATCTGAAGAGCTGATATCGCCATCCGTTTTTACAGAACGCCTGATAGGTACAGATAATACTAGACAGTTGATGTGTGAACCGCCTCAAAATTAAGTTAATTTCAAAGTTGCGTGTACATGTGGCGTAAGAAATGCAAAAAAAAAAAAGAAAATTTGATTTTCGAAAACGGACATTTGAAGTGTTGAAAGTGATCATGAATAAAGTATGCAGACTGAGGTCTCAAATTACTGCACAAATCACTGATAGAAATACAATGCAATGTGTCAAAAAAAACTGTTTGAACATACCGTAGTGCTAACATAACTCTTCTTTTGTGCATGTGTCGTCTGCAAGGAGAGCACAACAAATCAGTGTCACTGTAAACTTGGTGCGAGACGTTTAAATCATGATGAAATCAACTCTGCTTCTTACTTAAGGAAAAACACTGAAAAACTCTGCAGATTGCCAAGAGATGATGAGAGGTAAGAGGGTTAGACCCCCAGCTAGGAATTAGGTCTCTATGGGGAATTGACTCTCTTACAATACACAGTAGACGAGCTAAAGGTAGCAGGTGTGAAGATGAACAACTCGGTTTTGCCTCACTGGAACAGCTGTTGAGCATTTTAATTGCAAATTCCGTGGTGTCAATTCGCCAAAACTATATTGAAATTTACTTTATGTTTATCCAGTGAAATTTTCGTTACAACAGGAGAAGAAGGTAGAAAATTCAAATTTTCTTGGACAACTATCAGTTACTAGGCGCCCAACAGAAATGCAGCTTGTGATTACGAGAAACCTCACTAACCTGGCCTCCCTCCAAATGAGCAATGCAATAATGACAGCGATGATCAAGACGAATACACAAACGATCACGATGACTTTGGTGAAATCTATCAAAGTTGAAGATAATGTGCAAAAGTAAGCATGAATGTTTCTTTTGGTTAATGATGTTAAAACGTGGTAGATAGAAAGTCTCAATACATTTAACAAGCAATATAAGAGTAGCATTTTTAAAACGAAGGCCAAGAAGAAAATACAAAACGATAAAAGAAAAACAGTGGGAGATCTACAGTTAAATGATGATACAGAAAGTTTAAGACACTATTACACAAGGGAACTGTGTCTCAAAATCTCTTCCGTCATAAGATATTTCTGTTGCATACTGATTACGCGTAGGAGAAATAAATAGATGAATAAATGAACGAATGACATGGGAAAAGCGTACAGAGAATGAGATTGTGAACTTGAATAAATATATGAATAAGTGAATGAATGAATGAATGAATGAATGGAATGGACAGATGGATGGATGGATGGACGGACGGACGGACGGACGGATGGATGCATGGATGCATGGATGCATGAATGAATGAATGAATGAATGAGACAAAGTGTGAACAAACCTTCCTGCGATACGATCGCAATGGTTGTAGGAATTCCTAAATCAGTGGCATTTCCGGTCTCAATTTCTATGGAAATAACGCTGTACAACGGAGGGCTGCCATGATCCATTGCACGAATTGTCACCTTATAAACACAGAGCGCTGCTAACGTCCTTGCGACCCTTAAAGTTCCCGTATACTCATCTATTCTAAAAGTCCCATTTGACTCGTTGATACAACGGAATGCACTACTATGCTCTGAAGATATGGAGCCCGTGATACTCAGGATAGAGTAATTGACTTTTCCTCCGGGCCCACTGTCTGGATCATCAGCGGTTAAAGTTATAACGGCCGAGGAGATGGACGCGTCCGCTGTAAGCTGGATTGAAGACTGGGAAAGAGAAAACAGTTTGAAGTACATTGCAATTATTAAAAGTGAGCGATAAGATAATGTGGCAGTGTGGTTTGATTTTCTTAACAGTCTTAATATCAAGCTTGAAAGTAATCAGTTTAAACTCCACTGGGTTGAATTTTTGTGACCTTAAAAAAGAGGCCTCACGAAATAAAGAATAGTTCTTCTGCTAATTAATTTTTCACTTCCTTTCCTTTACAATAACAATTTTATATCCATAATACGGTAAACGTTTGTAAGTAATACCTTGCAGGTCTACATTGTTTCGAATAACAATACGAATTCACAAGTATTGATGTTTCCCCGCTAGTAACGCTGATATGAAATTTCTGTCTCGCAAGAATGTAATAATACTTAACTTTAATAGCTTTATAGCTATCTATAACCGCAAGCCCAGCGGACTATGATGCAACAGCAATCCTGCATCAGCAGTCATCGTTATGCAGACAGAACACTCGCTTACTTTTTTATAGTCATGTGTCTTTGAGGAATAAGCAGCTCCATTTTGGTTACGACAAAATTGCAATTCACTCTGCCCGTCAGTTGTATTTACTATAACGTAGCCTCCTGTTTTACTGATATGCCATTTACCGTTGTACATACGTACAAATGTATCAGTGTCGTCTTCAACAGTGTATGTTCACTGACTGTTACCTGGTATTTTGAGGGCTCAAACACCGGATGATTGTCGTTGACATCAATCAAAGTTACGATCACTTTCGCGTAACCTTCGAGAGATACCTTCCCACCATCCCTTGCAATGACTGTGAACTCATAGACCTGCAGCCCGAAACATAGTGTAATAGTTAGGTGTTCTTTGTGTTCTAATGTTCTACTTAATTAACTGAAATGTTTAAATAAGGCCGAAAAACACTTAGTTTGAGATTGTGAATTATCGTTTGGTGGGTTAGTGTGATGGTTTAGACGAGAATACTCTCTCAGCTTTAGTTAGTTGGCAAATAAACAAATAAACATTGTTTTGATTTGATTTGATCTAACCTAAATTTGAGATCCCGGAACTGGAGATGAAAGGGAACACCTCATGCATCGATCACGAAAATTTTCAAAACTTGTATTTCAATAGCACTCCTTGACCATTTCTATATGTCTCTCTCTGAGAAACAACTTCTTTCCGCATACCTCATGTTCTTCTCTGTCGAGGTCTTCTTTTGTAAAAATTGAACCAGTAGCGCTATTCAAGGTAAATTTTTCCTGAGCCTTTGTGTCACTGTAAGTGGCCATAATATATGTAATCTCTTGGTTTAAATAAGAATCTTTGTCGTCAGCATGAACCGAACACACGTAAGTCCCAGATGTAATGTTCTCAAAGACTGCTGCGGTGTAAATCTCGGAATTAAACCGAGGCAGATTGTCGTTTTCATCATTGATGGCAATAATGATTGTAGCAGATACCTCAGCTCTACGAGACGGGACCCCCATATCCTTCACGTTGACCATTAAAAGATAACGTGACACATTCTCGTGATCAAGTTCAGTGGCCAGATAGAGAAATCCCTTGGATTCATCCAAGAAGAAAGTAGAGTGATCATTGCCCGATTCTATGGAGTAGGTAAGAGCTCCATTCGCTGTACTATCATGATCCACTGCTTGAATCCTAAGTAGTTCTCTTCCAACAGCTGTGTCCTCTGATATCGATATGTTATAGTATGAAGGGTTAAACACTGGCGAGTTGTCATTTTCATCAGAAATTGAAATGACAACCGTAGTGACATCCAGGCGTGAATGAATACTGATATCTTGCACTGCAACCTGAAATCGATAAACCTGCGTTCTTTCAAAGTCCAGGGGTTTATTGACATAAATAACACCTGAAGATGAGTTCACCACAAAATCATGATCTAATCCTTCTTTCACAATCGAGAAAACCATTTTACTGTTAGCGTGTGAGCAATCAGCATCCAAGGCACGCACGCGCAGAACAGCTGTCCCAGGGGACGTGCTCTCTGAAATGGTTTCCTCGTACAAGGAGAGTTCAAAAATTGGCGGGTTGTCGTTCAAATCTCGCACAGAAATGAAAACATGAGCTGGTCTGTCGGCAAAAAGTGGTGTTTGTCCGTTATCGTGAACAGCTACTCTCATATCATGCGTTGAGTTCTTTTCATAGTCTAAATCCTTGGAAACTATTACAATGCCATGACTGTCAACAGTAAACAAACGGCGGGGGTCTCCTTTCACAATGGAGTATACCAGCTGGCTGTTACTTCCAGTATCTTTATCTGTAGCAGTCAGTTTTAACACCGAGCTCCCAATACCTACCGCCTCAGAAATTGTCACGTTGTATTTCAGTGGGTTGAAAACCGGTTTGTGTTCATTTACATCAAGCACTGTTATAAGAACTTCTGTGAAAGCTGTAAAGTCAGGATCGCGGGCGGATATGAACAGTGAATATGTGGGTTGAGTTTCACGATCTAATGTCTTCATCAGAGTTATTTCACCTGAAAATTGGAAGGAAAATGACTTGTAAGATAAGCAATGTCTCCGAGGTTTGAAAATTCTGCAAATGAGTGACACCCCTCTAACATTGGGATATCGCGTGGTAAAAATTTTTAGCTTTTTACAATCAAAAGAGTCAAGATTACTTGTGAAGACGTTTTTGTGCGGAGCCTCTAGCCAAACTTATTACCTTGGGCAAAGTATAACCAAATCAAATAACCAATCAGACCGCGAGGCAAAAACATGCAACGGTGTTAGGCGGTTTTGTTCTTGATTGGTTGAAACGAAAGAATGTTTGCTCTGATTGGTCAGAACATTCACCTTACTTATTTAACCAGTTCGAGAGCTTGTGAGACGTAAAAGTAAAGCAGACAACAAAATTACCTTTAGCAGTCAGTAGAAAGTGCTCTAAAGGAGTAATGGTAACTCACTATCATTTATCATGATTCCTAAGCCTTATTGGCTTTCCTGGGCTTCCTTGCTTAATATACATTGATTGATACCTGATGTCTTGTTCAAGCTAAAAGTATTCATGCCAGATCCAGCCAGTATTGAGTAGGTCACATTTGCATTGACTCCCATGTCGTCATCCTGGCCATAAAGAACTAGCAACACGTGGCCAACAGTGACATTCTCCAGGATACTGACGTCATAGATTTTCTCGTTGAAACTTGGAGCGTTGTCGTTTTGATCAACCACGGTGATCCTTACAGCGGTGGTGGAGTTGGGTGCATGTTCATCTATATTGGTCGCTTTTACAAGTAGTTGATATTCAGATTTTTCTTCTCGGTTTAATGGACGAAACGTGTAAATTCCAAAATGGGTTGACGAGACATTTGGAAGAATAAAAAAGGAGTCATTTATGTTTCCTGGAATGAAACGAATCGCGGAGTAAGGTTAAGGCCGAAATTTTATTCGATAATTATCACTGATTTAATTCGTACTGTATTTACAATCACATTTCACCATTCCTTACGCGTAGTAAATTAAAACCAGAGAGTTACAGCAAAGGAATTTGCATCAAAAATAAACAATCGATGGAATCAGCCTGTTTAAGGTGTGCGGTTCTCACTGGTGCACAATTTTAACAGCAGTAAGCAAACCTGAAATAATCCTGAATATCATATCCGCCCGAGTCTTCTCTTTACTCTCTGCCCTCACTGATATGTTGAGGATCAGCTGCAGTGGCGGCCCGTTCTCGTTTACAGATACCATGTAGGTTAATGACTGAAAAGCTGGTCGAGGATCTGAAATAGAACATAGAGTACAATCAAGTCCTGAATGTAGAGGCTGCCAAAAGTGGAGAACTTTTTGATGGTTGTTGATAATCTTACAATGACATTCATTCATGAGGTCTATACCATCAAGTAGAACTTCCTTGGAACAGATCTCAAAACGCATGACTTCAAACGTGGACTTCGGTAAATGCAGGGTGCAAAAGGACAAACAAAGATGTCCCTATTTTGGTATCCTCACCAAAATATAGTCCTCGTAAAATATTTGTTTCCTTTTTCACACGTTAACCTGGCTCGACTTATATACGGCAACTGCATTATTCCCACAAACGTAAGCGTTATTTCCAGAAAAGCAGTGATCCGCTGAAAGAACTACAACGCAAAAGGATGCAAAAAAGGAAAGTAGAGAGGGTTTCGGATTGCACACCATGCAGAAAGGGTCTGGAAGATGGGGGTCGGGGGGGGGGGG